GGACCAATTCTCATGGTGAGTAGCGGTGCAACTGAACCCGTTGATTATATGACTTTGCCAGCTGCTGCTAGTACCGTGCCATGGATGCAAGGGCTCGGTCTCTTCATTCTTCGATTAGAATCAAATCCAAAGCCAGTATCATGTCGTTTCGGCCCGTATCAAAAACTTGCTACTTGAGTGTCCGGTGGCCGATCTCCAGGGGTAAAATTGCCTGGGTTCCAAAGCGTAGGGCAAACGGCGTTTCTTCAGTCGATCTCCTCGGTGTAGTTCGATGAGCGCACAGTACGCTCGGCAATTCTTCAACCCATTTTCCTTTGGCTTTTTCCAGCCTCTTCTTGATGCCGTCCAAGATGGATTTATTGGAGGTTTCGGCCTGGCCATTGCTTTGGGAGTAAGCCGGCGTAGAAAAGTAAGGCCGAATACCATATTTGCTGCACAGCTCTCGGTATACGCCACAATTAAACTGGGTGCCGTTGTCCGAGATAAGAGCTCTGGGAATTCCAAATCGTGTTATGATGTTCCTCCACACAGGGCGCTTAACGTCAGCATCTCAGATATGTGTTACTGCCTCCGCTTCGACCCATTTCGTGAAGTAGTCTGTTGCGACGATCAGGTATTGCTTGTTTCCTGGGGCCCTCGGCAATGGTCATACGATGTCAGCCCCCATTGGGCGAACGGCCAAGGACTGGTGATAGAGTTTAACTCTTCAGTCGGCAGATGGCTTAACGGGGAGAATTTCTGACACTGTTCACACTTTTTTGCATATCACTCGGCGTCCGCTCTCATTGTCGGCCAATAATACCCCCACATTATAGCTTGATAGGCCAAAGAACGTCCGCCAGAATGGGCTCCACAACTGCCTTTGTGTATCTCAGTCAGAAGTTCTTCAACTTTGTCCGGGTGCACACATTCCAAATATGGGCCGGAGAGTGACTTTTTATAGAGCCTTCCTTGCGGATCCAGGTAGTATCGCATGGCTTTGTTTCGTAGCTTGTGTGCTCTTTTGTTGTCTTCTGGGAGCTGTTCAGAAGATAGGAACGCAACAATGGGATCCATCTAACTTGGTGCATATTCGACAACGTTGATTTGGACTTCCTCCAGGGGGCCAATGCTTGGCTCTGGGATGAATCCTACTTTGATGGTACGTTTAACCTCTGAGTTGATTGCGGAGGCTAGGCAAGCCAAGGCATCTACATGGGTGTTCTGATCACGTGTTATCTGGTTCAACTCATGATGGTCAAATTTTGCCAACAGGGAATTGGCCGTTTTCATGTAGGCCGCCATCCGGTCGTTTCTTGCTGCATATTCGCCCTTTAGCTGATTGATCACTAGTTTTGAGTCACAAAATACAAGCAGACGACGAGCACCCAGAATATGCGCGTTCTGTAAACCGGCTAAGAGGGTTTCGTATTCGGCTTCGTTATTTGATGCTTCGAAGCCGAGCTTGACGGCCTACTCAATTATTGCGCTGTCGGGGGTCATGATTACAACTCCAACTCCGCTGCCCCTTTGATTGGACGATCCATCACAATACAATTGCCAGTTGTCCCCAACATAAATCCTCCAGTTCGGCTTTGGTCGAATTTCATCTGACTTGGAGTTGGTGACATCAGACTTGAAGTCGGCAAGGCCCCCAGTGAATTCGGCGACGAAGTCGGCAAGCATCTGTCCCTTGATTGAGGTTCTGGGTAGAAATTGAATATCGTACTAGCCAAGTTCCAGAGCCCACTTTGAAACACCTCCAGATGCTTCCGCACTGCGTAGTACTGATCGGAGGGGATAATCTGTCAGCACCCCAATGCTATGCCCCTGGAAGTAATGCATGAGCTTCCTTACCGCCATTACTAGGGCTAGGATGAGCTTTTCCAACGGAAGATAGCGTGTTTCGGCGTCAACCATTGCCTTGCTCACATAATATATTGGCCGCTGCTCCCCCAACTCTTCCTTTATCAATACGGCGCTGATGGCTCAGTCAGAAACTGCCAGGTACAAAATGAGCGGGTTGCCAGCAGAGGGTGTTGTCAGGAGTGGTACTGAGCGGAGGTAGGTCTTCAGGCCGTTGAAAGCGGCTTCACACTCAGCGGACCATTCAAAGGCCTTGCCTTACCGTAGTGTATGAAAGAATTGTCGGCAGCGATCTGTGGACCTGCTTATAAACCTGTTGAGTGCGGTAGCCATCTCCATCAACTTTTGGACCTCCTTTACTGTACGATGGGAGCTGAGCTCTAGGATTGCTGTGATTTGCCTTGGGTTGGCTTCGATTCCTCTGTGGTTGACAATATAGCCCAAAAATTTGCCGGAGCTGATACCAAACGCACATTTGGAAGCATTCAACTTCATTCCATATTTGCGTAGGATGGCGAATGTCTCTTCCAGATCGGCTATATGATTCTGATCTTTTTTGGATTTGACCACCATATCGTCAATGTATACTTCCATAGTTTTGCTGAGTTTCTCCTTGAACATGGTGGTGACCAGTCTCTGGTAGGTTGCCCCCGCATTCTTTAACCCAAAAGGCATTACCTTATAGCAATAGGTTCCTCTTGGGGTGAGGAATGCAGTTTTCTCTTGGTCCTCCGGATGAATAGCGATTTGATGATAACCTCTATAGGCATCAAGGAAGCTCATACGCTTATGGCGCACCGTAGCATCTACAAGCTGGTCTATCCTAGGAAGAAGAAAACAATCCTTTGGGCATATGCTTTGTTTAGGTTCGTGAAGTCGACGCACACTCGTCAAGTCCTATTTTTCTTCTTCACCACCACCGTATTAGAGAGCCATGTAGGGTAGGTCACTTCCCGAATTGCTCCGGTGTCAAGCAACCTGTCAACCTCCTCAACAACGGCGGTAGTGTGCTCTGCGACTGACCGCCGGCTTTTCTGAATGATCGGCTTACACTTAGGATCGACATTCAAATGGTGCTGTGAAACTGACGGATCTATACCCGATATCTCGTACGGAGTCCATGCAAAGATATCGAGGTTGCTGAGCAGGAAAGATATTAGCTGCCGTTTGTCGGCCTGATGTAAGGAGGCGTCGACCATGAAGAACTTCGTGGGGCTTCCATCAATTTGAACTCGTTCTAAATCTTCCGTTGCCTTTTCATTTGGAGGCCGCCCAACATCGTCAAGGCTTTCTCAATCCGGCAACTCGATAGAATTCACCTGTAGTTCCTTTGCCATTTTCTCGGCAAGGAGATAACATGCTTGTGCCGATTTCTGGGAGCCACAGATTTGCTCAATACCGCGTTCTGTCGGGAAGCGGAGCAGCTGATGATAGGTGCTGGGGACGGCTTGCATAGTATGCAACCAGGATCGTCCCATGATTAGATTATACGGTGACGGCAGCTTGACGACCAAGAATCCCATATCCACTGTTCGGGTACCTGCTCGTACGGGAAGTCTGATTTTCCCCAATGGGTACTCTGGATTGGCATTGTAGCCGAATAGGGGGTAAGGGGCCGGAGAGAGATCGAATTCGAAGAAGCCAAGTTTGGTGAACGTCTTGTAGTACATAATCTCCAATGTGCTTCCTGGATCAATGAGTACGCATTCAGCGGTGAATCGGTTCACGCGCAACTCAATTACCAAGGGGATCAATGTGGGGTAATGTTACTCCGGCCAAATCTGAATCATCGAAAGTGATAACCTCGGCTTCATGGGGTCGTTTAGTCGAGGTGAGTTGCTCTTGAGGGTTAGACTTTGACTGGATTGCGTGCACCGCTGGTGACATTGGCAGGCTGTATATCATGTGGATCACGCGGAGTGAACGTGAATCCTGTGCCAAGGCTATTGCTTGGGTTGGGTTGCCTTTTCGGACGTACTGTTGTAGCCGGCCGTCCTGTTCCAATTTATCGTCGTACGGGGTGAATGACAGTTCTTTGAATTTCTTGGGTAGCACTGCCATTGCGATCTGTCGCGAAAAAGGATCGTCTTGGTTGTCATCCGAGCTGTTTCTTCTTTGCTTACGCCTTGTACGGGGATTCTCTTTAGAAGAACTGGTAATTTCAGATCGTCCCTTTTTCTTGAGCTCCGAGGATAATGAGTCGGAGTTGCAATCAGTATCTTGTTGTCGGGCTCGAGATCGTCGACCAACTGCCCTCACGGGTCGTTCCGGGCCTTGATATGCAGTTTGTTTGGACTTTGCCACCTCCAAGGCCAGATCCTAACGGAGATGTTCGTTCTCTGCGATCATGTTCTCCAATCTTTGTTCGTTTTGCTGTGCTTATTCTAGGATCGTTTGCATTGCGTCGTGCTCTGAAGTTGAGGGTGAGGCGAAATTCAAGGCACGTCTTGCGGCGAAAGTCTCTGTTCCAAGCATGGTTGTTGGAGTGGTTGCATCTTGCGGTATTGGGTCGACAGTGACTGTTGGAGGATCTTTCGTCACGCTCGCCATGGATGTGCTTGAGTATTCCCACAGACGGCGTCAGTTGTGGAGAAGTGGTTTGGAAATACTCTTCTGATCTTGGGGAATGCTTGTGATCCTCTTCCGGTCACCTGAAAAGAAATATATACTCCGACGGGGGTGCCGGAATTAGCACTCCAATGGATAAGTCAGTAACAACACTTAGGCATACTTTTATTCTAAGTTAAGCACTACAATACTTACATACCTCTTTCTGGCTGATGTTTTTCTATTTTTATCTTTTCTTCCATGGTCCTTAGGATTAGGTCCATTTCCAACTCATATTCGGCACATCTTATAATAGACCGACCCTCACTCGGCCCATTGCCTAATCAGCTATTTGGCCGAATAGGGTTGGATTTGAACATGGGAGCCAATTGCCGAGTGCTTCGAATCTCGACTCTCCGAGATTCGACTATCCGGAATCTCTGCGACTCCCTCTTCTCGGCCCCCACATTAAATTATGGAATATGACTTTCAAATTTTAATTAGTATTATTTTTTTAAAAAATTATTTTATAATTATGTTTTTTATTTTTATTTTTATTTTTAATAATAATAAATTATCTTTGATTTTGTATTTGTCACAATTTCTAGGGAACTTGAGGAATCTTCGAGACGCTCATGCAGCAATGGCCGTTGGGTCATCTAAAACGATTGCTGGTCAGCCTTCGTTTGTCACAAGAATAATCTCAGAGTGCGAGTCTGCATTAACATTTTTGAATCGTGATCTTGGAATTCTATCGGCATCTATTGCTCGAGAGCAAGGTGGGAAGATGAATATCTGATTGGACATATCATACAAGCAGAGGGGAACTACCGAAGAAGATTTCTCTTATTTTGGGGATATACCAGAAATCACAATTTGTACAATTTCTTAAATGAATGAATTGACAAACCAAGTCATTTTTTATTTTAATTTTTTTTTCCTTTAAGAAAATATCATATGATATGATATCTGGGTCCAAAACTAATTGGCTGGTGAGGAACTGCTTGAGATTTTCATTTCTTTATATTTTTAGGTTAAGAATATGAGATGCTATTGGTTATGTTTGACATGGATTGGTGTTATGCATGCTGGAATGATCCGACTGTGAAAATATTAAACCATATGCTACTTCCTCTCTCTCTATGGGTCTCCAAGAGAAAGAGAATATGTAAAGGTGGGATGGGAACTGAAGCCTGTGTGTCTGTAATGAACTAAAATTGAACACCAACAGAAGCATAGATGCACCAATGTGGTGGTTGTTTATAGTGGTCTGTTCATGCTTCATTCTACGTTTCCTTAATTTTTTAGTCGCCTTCATTCAAAATCTGTGGTGAAATACTTGTAATTTTTTTTTTGGGGGGTGGCCATTATTAATTTTATTTGAACACCATATAAAATCTCAATGCCCTCCATTTATGATGCCAAATGTTTACACAAACTTGCGATCAAAAAATAATTATTTGGACAAACATTTGAACATAATGTATATCAGTTTGAAAGTTTGTCTGAATGTTTGTACTCACCTGTCATTGCTTGAAGGGGAAACCAATTTAAGGGAGGTTCTAAATACACCCATTATGTTTCTCTTTACCCCATGTTCTCTATTATTGTTAGGGATGACAATTTGAACCCAGCCCGACGGGAACCCTACTCCTCGACCCCGATTTGAGCGGTTTTTTTCGGAAAAATATCTCCAACGGGACGGGGATGGTATTTAAAGATCAATCTTCGATTAGATTCGGGTAGGGGACGGGGGGATAAGTGTCCTAGTCCCGTACCCAGCCCGCCTCTGTTCCTGTCCCCGTTTGTCCTCGAAATGAAATTACTAGTTTACCCATATATATATATATATACACATATGGTAAATCCTCGTCCTCATATCTCAATCTTGTCTTCCACCGTGTCTCTCTCTTTCTCTGTATGTGTGTATCGTCCTCCTCCATCTGTATGTGTTGATGATCCGATCATCCACTCACTCTCTCTCTCTCTGTGACACAGATCTTAGATCTGTTTGTGTATGTATACATGTATGTCTATGTGTCTGTTCATTTTTATTTTTTTTTGGTTTATGATATATTGATGATTTTGTTGATATGTTGATGTTGAAAATGATATGTTGATGTTGATGATTTTGTTGATGATGTTGTTGTTGTTGATGGTGGTGTTGAAACAGATTTGGTGGGTAGGAATTTTGGGGTCGGGAAACCCGATCCCTGTTAGGGGACGGGGATGGGGATGGTGGTAGGTTCCCCGTCGGGGATCGAGGCCGGGGCCGGGGCCAGGGCCAGGGATATTTTCACAATTGGGGATCAGGAACGGGGAGTGTGATCCCCGGCCCCGCCCCGCCCCGCTGTCATTCCTAATTTATTGTATGTAAAAGTTTTTTCTCCCCCTAAAGTACAAGGCTTGTAGTGCATGTGGTGGTGGGTGTAGAATTTTTTTAAGTCCGCGTTTAGAAACACCCCCAATTTAAATAATGAATTTAGTATTTATTGCCATATTTTATGATTCTATTTCATTGATTTTCCAAATTTTAACCCACGTTTTAATATGACTTACTTATTATCTATTATTTAAAATTTAGACAAACAAAATACTCTTTCAATTTGAATTTCACATTAATCCTTGTTTTTAAAATGTGCTTACGTTGCCTACATCTGAATTTGAATTCATTGACTTTTAAAAAGATTTTTGAGTATATATATTGTAATTAGACAATGAAAAATTTAATTGTAAACTTTTTAATTTTGTGGATAATGTGTGACTACGGTATGTTTAGAATTTTCCATGAATTAATATAAGACATGGAAGGTGAATTAATATAAAGAGTTATGTTAGGAATTTTAAATAAATTATCAAATTTTTTACTAAACTTTTCACATGGGTGTGAGATCAACACACATGTGATTTGTGTGAGTCCTATATTCATGTGGAATGATTGGTAGAAAATTTAGTAATTTATTTGAGATTCATAACATTTTCCTTTTCCTAATATAAGACAAGAAAGGTAGGATATATGTTAATGAGTAATGTTAAAGACCCTAAATAATCTATTAAATATTTTACCAAACCTCTCATTGGCTGTAAAATCTACACACATATAAATTTATATGAATTCTATACCCATAAAATATTTAATAAATTATTTGAGATTCATAATATTTTCCAACGTTGATTCAATGCATTAGCATTAGTGACATCAGATTCATTTATTAGAGCACATTAAATGGTATTCAAGACTGGTACAATACGCAATTTTTTTTTGGGTGCATGTTACATGTAAGTTAGGAGGGGGGGGGGGTTGACTGTTTGTGTGCTCAATCAGGTCAAGTTTGCAACTCAAAAATAATCCAGTTTTTTATTTTTTTATCTTTTTTTAAAACATCACCTTTCTACTTTTTTGTACATCTTTTCATAAAAAAATAAAAAGTATACTTATTTAGGTCATCCCAAACAAGTCTCATTTTGATAATCTGAATGTTTTATGTTTTAAGATATATTGAGTAGATTAAATTTGTAAAAAAATCAAGTTAATCATACATCAGTAATCTTTTCATTCAATCATATTTGTATCTAAAAAAATGAATGATATGTATGGTTTTAAATATAAAACTAAATTAAAAACAATTAATGATAAGCGTGATTTTAAGAATAAAACTAAAAATGATTGGATGAAAAGGTTATTGATATCCAATTTATTTATTTTGTAAGTATGATCTACTTAATAAAAAAATCAGACGGATCTGATACTTGTAACCTCATGATTTCATCATCATATTTATGAATTATATTTTCAAAAATATGTCTCTTTTTTTGAACAAATATAATTTAATCACAAACCTACAATTATTGAATCAATTTTTTATTTTTTATTTTTTTTATTATAGATAATTCACATATGAGTATATTATTCAAACTTAAAAGTTAGACTCACTTTTTAATGTGTTATTTCTTTCTCTTATATCTCCTTCAATTATCAATTAATTATGTTACTTATATATAATTGGATCTAAAAATGTGTGTAAATCATTTTTCTTCAGGTATAGAGGCTAAAAAATAAATGAAATAGATTATTGATGTGGGATTCCGCAACCCATAATAATACAGTCTAACATAATTATAGACGAGAGAGAAACTTTTCGTTTTAGGAAAAAAAAAAAAACCTATGTTATTTATTTATAGCAGCTATAATGCAATGTATCTCTACGTTCATTGCTAGTTAAGGGGTACTAGAGATAGAGATTACCCAGTATTTGCATCAACTTAAACAATTAAGAAAAATGCTATAGATCTTAAATTTTTTACTAAATAAATGATTAAATATCTTACATGAGTATGGGGTCCATAAAATTATGGACCCTATATTCATATAAGATATTTGACCATTTATTTAGTAGAAAATGTGATATTCCTAACATTACCCAACGATTAATGTTAATTTCCTCAATGTTTTCATTAACTTCACAATAAATGAAAATCCTTATATAGTTTCCTCAATATTTTCATTAATTTCACAATAAATGAAAATCCATGCATATAAGGAAAAGAGTAGTTACTTGTTCAGTCACCAAATGAAAAGAAAAGAAATCATTTTATCAAAACAAACTTGAATCATGAAGATGGTATATTATTGTGAATCTTATGCTCATGTGAGACATTTGGTCATTTGTTTAGTAGAAAATTTGATATTCTTAACATTACCCAACAATTAATGATAGTTTCCTCAATATTTTCATTAACCTCACCATAATTGTAAATCCATGCATATAAGGAAAAGAGAAGTTACTTGTTCAGTCACCAAAAGAAAATAAAAGAAATCATTTTATCAAAACAAACTTGGATCATGAAAATGGAACATTATTGTGGATCCTACATCCATGTGAGACATTTGGTTATTTGGTTAGTAAAAAATTTGGTATTCCTAACATTACGTAACAATTAATGTTAGTTTCCTCAATATTTTCATTAACTTCACAATAAATGAAAATCCATGCATATAAGGAAAAGAGAAGTTACTTGTTCAGTCTCCAAAAGAAAAGGAAAGAAATTATTTTATCAAAACAAACTTGGATCATGAAGATGATGTATTATTGCGGACCTTACACCCATATGAGACATTTGATCATTTATTTAATAAAAAATTTGATATTTCCAACATTACCTAATAATTAATGTTAGTTTCCTCAATATTTTCATTACTTCACAATAAATGAAAATCTGTGCATATAAAGAAAAGAGAAGTTACTTGTTTTGTCGCCAAAAGAAAATAAAAGAAATTATTTTATCAAAACAAACTTGGATCATGAAGATGGTATATTATTGTAGACCTTACACCCATGTGAGACATTTAGTCATTTGTTTAGTAAAAATTTTGGTATTCCTAACATCATCCAACAATTAATGTTAGTTTCATTAATATTTTCATTAATTTCACAATAAATAAAAATCCATGCATATAAGGAAAAAAGAAATTACTTGTTCAGTCACCAAAACAAAAGGAAAGAAATCATTTTATCATGAAGGTGGTGCATTTACTTTATTAGCCATAGCCATCCTTTGCTCTCTATAAGTAGACTAAATTGATCTCTGTCCATTCATATCATCAGCTCATAAAGCTATTATTCATCACACAAAGAGTCATGAAAAAATCATTTCATTCCCTTGTCTCCACCATATTTGCAATCACCATCTCCATTATCTATCTCTCTCCATGTTCCCTTCTTGAAGCTAATCCTGTCGGATTTAGTGTGGACCTCATCCATCGAGATTCACCATCATCTCCCCTCTACAATTCTTCTCTAAGTCATTTTGAACGCGTGAGCAGTGCTTTGCATCGGTCAACCAATCGTGTCAAGTATTATACACGAGCTTCTACAACACCACAGTCAGCCTACGGTGATGTATTTTCTCAGGGTGGAGAATATCTAATGAAAATAACAATTGGAACACCACCCGTTAGTATCCTAGCCATTGCTGACACTGGTAACGACCTTATATGGACGCAATGTTTGCCTTGTTCTGATTGTTACAAGCAAAAAGCTCCTTTCTTCAATCCTAGAAGTTCCTCAACATACAAAGAAGTTCCTTGTGATTCAGACAGTGCATGCCAAACTCTTGGAGGAGCCTTTTGTACTCTTGGTATTTGTCAGTACGCGGTGCAATATGGTGATGGTTCCTACAGCCAGGGTTATCTTGCCACAGAAGCGGTCACTTTAAGTTCCACCACTGGGCGACCAGTGTCCCTCCCTAATAAAATCATTTTTGGGTGTGGGTATGAAAATGTAGGTTCATTTAGTGAGAATGGATCAGGCATAATTGGCCTTGGGGCTGGACCACTTTCTCTTATTTCCCAATCGCGGTCTTCAATTGGTGACAAATTTTCCTATTGCTTGGTGCCATTGTCTTCAGACAACACAAAGTCTAGCCAAATGAATTTCGGTCAGAATGCTATAGTTTCAGGAAATGGAGTGGTATCTACTCCAATGACTCTAAACAGCTTTTATTTCTTGACTTTGGAAGGCATCAGTGTTGGGGGTCAAAGGCTAGAATTTTACGACTCTTCATCATCACCAAATGCTTCTGGTTCCTTTGAAACTGATAACATGATCATAGACTCGGGAACATTATTGACATTCCTTCCACCAAATTTTTACAGCCGGTTAGAATCAGCAGTTCGTAGTGCAATTAAAGAGAAACCAATGGCCGACCCACAACAGCTTTTGGATTTGTGCTACAAATTTAGTAATGAAATCTCATTTCCCATTATTACAGCACACTTCACCGGTGCAGATGTGAAATTGAGTCATTTGAATACTTTTATCGAAACAAGCAGTGACCTTACGTGCTTTGCTTTTGCCCCAGCATACACGGGAGTTTTTGGTAAAGTCGCACAAACGAACTTCTTGGTTGGCTATGACCTCCGTAAGGGAATTGTGTCCTTCAAGCCTATGGATTGTGCGAGAGAGTAATGTTCATGTTAGATATCTATACTATATGTAAAGTGAACGCTCCTTACGGTGTTTTGAAGTCTTAATTTCTTATATTGTCAGATGTGTACTTTTTAATTTAAGAAAAAAAATAAAATTTTATAAAGTGAACATTTCTTATGGTGTCTTGAAGCATTGATTTCTTATGGTGTCACATGTGTACATTTTTATTTTAAAAAAACAATAAAATTAGATAGATGCGAGAAGAGGACTTGAACCTAAGACTTATATCAAATGAAATTTTTTTTTTTACCACTTAACTAACACACAACATATAATAAATATTTTATTTTATTTTTATTTATTTAAATTGTACACGTATTACTTGTATATATATATATATATATATGTGCGCGCGCGCGCATTTTTTCATCGTTTCTTAATTATTGTACTTGTTAGTTGTATGGTCTATGGGTGTCAACTAGATGGCTTATTATAACAATTTGAAAATTTATTTATTTATTTATTTTTAATTCTGTATCAATATTAATTAAATATAAATGAGAAAAAAATAAAATCCATTTTATAATTTTATATGTGATTTTATAATTGGGATCAAATATATAATTTTGTAAAAGAGTGTAATTAGTATAATTATAATAATCTTTTAGGGCCAAAGTGTAATTAATAAAAAGTAATTATTATCCTATGAGTTGAGCCACTAACAATATGTCAAATGTATGCGAGTGCCATAATTTTAGTTTACTTTACCAAAATAGATACTCTCTCGTTTTAAAAATTTTCTCTCTAAAAAACCTCCATCTCGGCCTCACCGTTGGCCGGCTGGCCGCCGCCTTTGGCCATGGCGGTTGGCTGGCCTAGCTTTCTCTCTTTGCGCTGTTGTTTTTCTCCTAATAATCTTGAGCCCCCATTTGTTTCCCAGTTTTCTTCCTTTTCAGATCTAACCTCTAGATTTGTTTAGGGTCCTTTCGTTTTAGTTTAGGTTGTTTGTGTTCTCAGGTTTTCTTTGGGTTTTTTAGCTGTTTATACCTTGGGTGGTTTTAGATCTTTCTTCACTTTGTGGGTTGGTGTTTTGGAAGCTTTGTTGGGTGGGTTTGGTGGGTTCGTTTCTCGGCCTTGGGTTCAGCTTCAGCCTTGCGTTGACCTTGGGTGGGTTGGTTCAGGAAATTCATTCGGGCACTTCGCTGCAAGAGGGAGTTTGAGGGGTGGAGGATCCAGAGATGTTTAGGATCTTCATTCGAGCGCTCCGTGCGAGTGGGAGTTTGAGGGATGATTTCCGTTCAATCCTTTGGTGGTCGGTGTCTGTGTTCGGTTAAGCTTGAAGAGGAGAGTGAAGCAAGAAAAAGCTAAGCATCTGCAATGGAGGGTGATGTTTGGGTTACGGAGAAGAGGAGAAGGAAGCAAAGGAGGTTCAGAGGTGAAGAGGTCCAGAGGCTCAGAGGAGAAGGAAGGAAAGGGGTTTAATTTTAGAGTGTTAAAAAAATGTTCAGAGGCTGTCGATGTTCAGAGATGAAGCAAAGGAGGTTCGGTCACGGGTGGTCCTCGACGGCGATGGAGCAGTCTGTGTGTCCGGCAAGTATGGAGGTTGAGTGTTTCAAGTGTGTATCAGTGCATCAAGTGTGTATCAGGCAACCGGTGGAGGTTGAAGTCGAGAGCAAAGAATTTTGGAGGTTGAGTGTGTGGTTTTTTAGTGTATCTGTGCAGCAGTCCCGGTGCAGCAGTCCAGCTGAAGAAGTAGTTTCAGAGGTTGAGTGTCCGACAATGGTGGTTCTCGACGGGTGGTCCTCGACGGTAATGGAGCCCGAGTGTCCGGCAATTTTGGTGGTTGAGTGTCCGACAATGGCGCAGGGTGCTCGGGTCAGGCGTGGGGCTCAAGAGTGTCTCAGTGTTTGAGTCAGACGTGGGGGCGGGGGCTCATGAGAGTGTATCAGGCGTGGGTCTACTTTCAGTGTATCTGTGTTTAGGTGGGGGTTCAAGAGAGTTTGGTTGTTTTTTTCTTTATTTTATTTTCTAGTTGTATTTTAAAATGTAAAATCGTGAGGCTAAGAGGTTGGTTATATGAACGTGAGTAGCAGTAGTAGGAGAGTGAGTATTTACCCTTCGAATCTCTCTCAATGCGTTTTATCTCCTTGTACCTTTAAATTTCATATTTTTAATGAAATTTTTCTTTGCCGATCAAAAAAAAAAATGTATGCGAGTGCCATGGAGGAAAAAGCTTGGAACCAGATTTACAGTACCAAATTTGCTCAGAATTGATTTTTGTGGTAGAGATTAATTTGTTAAAATATAGGGTTCATGAGTGAAATAAATTATAATCATTAATTGCTATTTTTGGATAAATTTTGAATATAAATTTCTGAGTTTGTAGTCCCTCTCGTGCATGGATGGGCAACGTGTAGTGTTTTTTTTTTTTGATTAGCAAAAGAGAACTTTATTGATGACGAAAACATACAAATACATATGAGTTGAACATCAATAAAGAGGTGGAAGAGCAGAAGCGCATCAAAGCTAACAACCCAATCCCAACTAGGTTGGCACCGAGAAGAGAGCCCAATCATCTGCGAGCTCAACCACAAAGGGATGGTGAGAGACCATGCCCAGAAATAAAATAAAGACCCCAAAAACTCAATAGCATCATCTATAATCCAATAGCATCATCTATAATCATCACCTGGCATCATCTAACCAATATTGCAAACTACACAACAAACCAACTGCACATCCTATAACACCAGCAGCTAGACACCCAGCAGCTACAAACGGCCAGATGTAGACACCCCATTTTTGACCGTCCTCAAGACTTGGACGTCACCGTTTGAACACTCGGTGATTATCCTTGTTTGCATTCGTTTGGAGTTCCCGGAGGCCTCGGCTCGCGTGCCTTGCCTCAGGATCTTCGAATTCAACCGTTTAGTGTCTGGTTTTGCACCAAACACTTGTGTTTTGCCTTGGAAGGGCAAGGTGGGGTTTGTAGACCATCCCCACCCATCACCGGCAGTGGCTAGATGCCACCGGCTGGTTTTTGCTGCCACCGGCAATATAGTTTGCCGGCCGGCACTCTTTGTTGCCGGTCAGCACT